GCTGAAAGGGAGGGGGGCGGTCCCTGCCTGCAACCAAGTCCTTATTAGGGCAATTCCTGCGTCATCCTTCCCCAACCCCTCCCCCCCCAAAAAAGCCCTGTCCTTAAAAAAAAAGAAAGAAAGAAAAGAAAAGAAAGGAAAGTCACATTAGTCAATTCCAAAAAGGCAACTCCCCATTCAAAGCCCGGGAGTTAAAAAAGAAGAAGAAAAGAAAAACAAAAGAAAGAAAGAAAGAAAGAAAGAAAGAAAGAAAGAAAGAAAGAAAGAAAAAGAAAAGAAAAGAAAAGAAAAGGCACACCTTGAAATGTTGCTTCTAAACTATTTTGCATTTTATGGCAGATGATTAGAAAGGGAAAACTGGAGAGGCACGCCTGGCCTGAGGCACAAGGAACTGATACAAATTTTAAAAAAAACCCAAGGAGAACAATATCTGATTTCCCAAGAAGTGTACATGTAAGGGCAGGGCCATTTACGTACTCCAGAGCGAAACCGATTATTTGGCTTCCCAAAGTGGCAAAACCAAAACCCACTTGGATGCGAAAAGCAGGCTACCTGCCTTTCCCGATCGGGCACCGTTTCAAGGTTTTTGTGCAAAATTTCCTGTCCAAGGGATACAACAGTTTTTGGCTGGTGGTGACTACGCTGTACAGTGACGCCCAACCTTGGGGGGGGGGCAGATGTTCTTGGATTAAAATGCCCAGAAGCCTTCACCACTAGATGAAGTGGCCAGGATTTCTGGGAGTTGTAGTCCAGAAACATCTGGAGGGGGGCCCCCCAAGGTGGAGAACCACCGCCTAGCAGAGAGAGCCCTGGGTTGAACCGGGGGGGGGATTGAAGCCCACACTCTGCCACAAAGTGAATGGGGTGACCTTGAAGGATGGATGGGGCAATATTTTAGTTATTTATTTGTTTATTTATTTGTTTGTTTGTTTGTTTATTAGATTTTTATCCCGCCCTTCTCGACAATGTCTACTCAGGGTGGCGTACAATAAAATTATTCATAAAACAGTTAAAACAACAATTAAATCGGCAATGAATCAAGATGGGAAAATATAAATCAAAAACTAAGTAAAAAATAAAAGTCAAGTACAGTATTGACATGAGAGAAGCATAAAAGTCAAGTACAGTATTGACAGGAGAGAAGCCCCCTTTTTCTGGGGGGAGAGCTTGTTTTTAATAGGGATTTGAATTCGGGACTTGGTTGCCAAAGACTCGGGAGGGGGGGGACTCAGACCCAAAGGCTTGCCAACATCCCTGGTTGTAACGAAGAAAGTGGGGAGGAGGCTGGGTGTGAAAACAGAATCCATAAATACGGAAATCAAGTGTTTTCCTCTGTTAAATAGCACTTAAAAGAGAGAGTGTGTGGGGGGGGTGTGTGAAAAAATTTGAATGTTGCTTTTTTTCATAATACACAAAAACACATTTAATATGTAAAATCACAGATGCTCTCAAATAAATTCAGTTTACCGATTTGCTGAGGAATTCGAAGCTATTGGCTCTTTAATACACATGCAGGTATTTTAAATTTTTTTAAAAAAAGTCTTGAAACAAAGGTTAAGGGATGCAAGGCCTGGCCCCAGTTTGTACTGGATTCTTCACCAGTACATGAAGCATACAGCATTATTTGTAAAATCTATCATACCAGGAAAACAATTTTTTAAAAGGCAGCACAATTTAAACTAGAGGCTAGCTTGGGAAAGGGTAAAAAAAAATATTTTTGAAAAAAGAACAGCCGGCTTCTTTTTCTTTTTCAAGGTCATGTAATTAAGATGTAGAGTTATGACCGCCTAGGAAAAAAGTCTGCAAACTTTTCAGACAAAACCAAAGGAAGAGTCATCATCACATCACCGTTCTCTTGAATGACTCGCTCAGCAAAACAAGTCACCGGTTTCAGAAAACCGGCACTCGGGTTCAAGATTTCAGATGACATAGAAGGAAAAGACACCGAAGAGAACTTTCCAAAGGTAAACTTTTGCTGAATAAAGCTGCAGATAAGAACTGCTCAGACGGGGAGAGACGAATGACTCGCAGGAATTATTCATCTCGTTTTTAAAAAACCACAAGAGCAAAACCCATTTGCCATCAGGAAAAAATTCATTACCGAACAAAGTTCATAGCACTGAAGTTTGGGCAGTTTCTTTCGGATGCATCGACAGCTCACTTTTATTCACTCATTTATGTTATTTTTTCCCCACAACTTAAAATAGTGCAGAACGACAACTCGGTACATCTGTTTTTGGCGTTCAACTTAAAATAGTGCAGAACGACAACTCGATACTGTACATCTGTTTTTGGCGTTGGTTTTGTTTACCATTTTTAGTGTGGTATTTGTTTGATTCTTTTAAATATTTGTATATTTACAATTTCTAGCACTTCTATATTGTCTTAAGAATGTAAGCCACCTTAGGGTCCTTATTTAAAGGAGAAAGGCAGAATAAAATGGTTTTAAATAAATAAATAAATCCATTCAATGTAATTCGTTTCAAGTTGCTTTGTGGTCTTTAGGGAGGTGTTTATGAAAGGACACCACTGAGCATTATTATCCAAACCTTGCAACTCACCCAGAAAATATATATATTATGCATCTTTAATGCAACAGTCACTTACATTTTATTTTATTTTATTTTTAAGCTGGAAAGAGATAGCTTCTGTGCATGCAGTTGAACTATTTGAAAGCCCCAGTTCTGGCATATAATTTATATAATTTATGAGCACTCTCAATTTTAGATACATGTTCCTCACTTATGTTGTAATTTTTCATAATCCCAGAGAAAAGACTCAAGCAGCTGAAAAACTGTTCTCTGGTACAGTAGAAGAAAAACAGAAATGAACTGGGAGGTGGGAAGGTTAAAACGATTTTGAAATATATATATACAGTATATTGGGAAGTCAATCAATGGGGGATTTTGGAACACATATTTCACAAAAATAATCACCACGACTGATGATGACAGTACAATTTTTGTAGTGGGGATATGTTCAAGAGCAGAAACAATGCAACAAAGGGGCATATATTTGTATTCTTTCAATGGGTGTACGCGAATTGCAATTAATCAGATTAATTAACCTACAAATAAGAATAAATGCAGGAGCGCTTTATTGCATATACATCCCTGCACACATACTGTCTTACTGTGTCAGCTATTTCTGCTGCAATTTCAAGAAATTCAGCATTGCGTCTGTCACGGCTCAGACCGCATCGTCATCGACGTCTTACGTCACCAAACTGGTCCTTTTGAGAATAAGCGTTAGGAAGGCAAAAAGCTTTGAAGTTCCGGCTTTCTGGATGCAAAAAGGTGGGGTGAACCTAACCACCAACTCAACGCAGGACCAAGAGATACAGGGCTCTTAGTTCTCTGCCTGGGGTTACCCATCCAATCCAAAAAATTTCTTATCTCCTACCGGTAGTGTCCCCTCTGTCCTTTGAGAAAACAAGAACGGCATAAAACTTTGTTCGTACAAATGAATAAGAATCAGTGGAACTGAACCAGAAATTGCAGTACTGTATGTCCTTTTCCCAGGTTGGGAGTAAGATGCCATTGGTTCTAACTGGAAATATCCTCCATAAAAATTATCCCCATCCCTATGAAATGATGTAGGTATTACGGTTTTTTTCCTTAAATTTACTAGAAATCACAATAGAGTGTTTTATTTATTTCTGGATTTACCACACACACACACCCTGCCTGCAAAGAGGGACCCACGACAGAGAACATATTCATGTGTATATATAGATAGAGAAGCTATAGATTTACAATGATGTTCATTTTATTAATGGTTTAATAGTCTCAGTTTGAAGGATCTATATATTTACAGCTAAAATCTTGCTGAGTAACTACGTGGGTGTAAAGGGCAATGATGTCATCAGCTCTTGACATGACTCTTTAATTTAATGTTAATGTTTCCTATCTTTAGTTTGTACTTATATTTTATATTTCTTATTACATGTTTGTGTTTTAGTCTTAGTGGGGAATCTAATTTAAGTGTCTAGCCAAAAAAAAAAATCCAAATAAAGCTACATTTTTGCTCACTTCGTGCTTCAGGTTTTGAAATATAAAATGTGTGACTTAAAAATTATGCACTATTTAGTAGCTATTTAGTAGCTATAGTAGTCACTACTATAGCTACTAAATAGTGCATAATTAATAACACTTTCATAATTGTTATCATCTCCTTTTCTGCTGGCTTTTTAGGTGCCTGAAACATGAACAGCTTTACAGAGAGAGAAATGGGGGGGGGGATCCAACCAAAGCTGTTTTGGTTTTTCTAAAAATCTCAGTTCCTACCTTGTCCTTTTCTCCTGTAATAAGGTTCTATTGCTCAACAGACATAGAATAGAAGTGTGTAA